TCTGGGAATTCCCTCAGGGACACACTCAGAGCCATTTGGCAGGTCATTCTAGATTCTTCTGTACTGACAAGGGACACAGCCAAAGGAACTGAAAGCAAGGTCTCAAAGAGACCTTGGTCACTACTATGAACACCCCACAATGGGGGAGGGTGATTGGAAATGAATGGGAGTACCCATGGTGGAGCACTACTCAAGAGTCGGGAAAACTGTGCTTCACATTTGCAAAATGAACCCTGTTGGGGGGGCAGTATTTGAACAACAGGAACCTACTTGGTGCGGATCAACTGTAAAATCAGGTGTGACTGAAATGGGGGAAATCTTACATTCCTAGTTTTCACCACAATAAGAAGCATTTTAAAACAGATTACCTAAAAAGGTGGCCGTCGGGAGAGCAAGGGCATAAACTCTGGCCACCAGAGGGCGCTCTGCACCCGTTCCTATTTTGTTCCACGGCCTGGCCTGCAATTTCTAGAGGGGTGAGGAACCTGGGTCCTACAGGCAGATAGAACTCTGTCTTTCCATTGGCCAACCTCTTTCAGGAGTGTCAAGCTTCAAGCACACCTGGTTCACATTAACTATCTGTCTAGCTCTTTCTGGGAGTCCTGAGGTGTGCAAAGTCTGCCACAATGCCCACTGGGCTTACAGAGTCCCTGGCTCACAGAATGTACTAGAGATGTCCGGTTTCTGCCAGCATCACATGCCCAGCACTGGCTTGGTAGAACTTCTGGGTCCTGGGTCATACAATTCCAGGAGTAACTGAGGAAGCCAACTGGACCCCTCTGGGAGTCCAGGAGTGTCCTCTTCTCTTTCTTCATCTCTACTCCCACCAGCCTGCTTTGTTTTCTCCCTCTGCTCCATCATCTTCAGGACAGGCCCATGCTCGGCCCGCTGACCTCATTCCAAATGGCCCCAGGAATCGAACTCAGGTCATCAGACTTGGTAGCAAGTGCCTTCACCCGCTGAGCCATCTCACCAGCCCCAGGATAAATGTTTTTTTAACCAAACTGTGGATGGCCCCAAACAAGCTGGGAACATTCAGAATAGAGACCCCCTGACTCTGCCTGCCTCGGTGCCACTCATTCAAACCCAGGAAAACAAATCAGATCTGGAGCTAACATCAGTTTCTGAGGATTGTGCTCTCACCATCTTTGAGAACGCTTGGAATAGGATCCTGAGAACAGGAGGGAGACCAGCATTCATAGGGGGACCCTGGGCTGGCTGTGGACTTCAGGGTAGGCACGGGATCTTGTCACCCTGCTCCCCCTGCTTCTTGTAGGAAAACACTGATCCCAGGCCACAGCTTAGACATGTGACCATCAACACAATGCCTCCTTGTCAATCACAGGTCTTCTGCGGTCCCTCTAGTTCACCTTCACCATACCCAGCCCTATGGCTTCAGGAAGTTCCCTGAATTCCAAGGGCCCCAAAGACATAAAAAGTGACCACAGTCTGCTTCCTGCTCCCTACTTAAAGTTTTCACAATCTTGGGAGGACAGAGCCCAGCTGGTCCCAGCTCTGGACAGACAAAGAGGGGCTGAGAAGAGTCCAGAAGCTGCATCCACCCTGTTCTGTGGGTCACAAACACAGAAGTGACAAACACATGCTCCTAGAGACTGTGCCCTATGACAGGACCCCTCCTGGGCCTGGAACCACAGGTGGCTAACTCTTCACTGCTTTTATCCCATCTTCTGAGCCATCCTCCACCAATGGCCTTTACTGTGCTAGATCCAGCCAGATTTCATTCATTAGTCACTCAACAAACACCATGGTGGCATGTTGCTGTAGAAGGTGCGAAGGCTTTGGGGAATCAATTTCCAGCTCTGTTAATTCTTGTAGGAGCTTGGACAGTTCCAGTGACCTCTCTGCACTTCCAGAGATTTTATTTCCTGCCTGTAAAATGAGGACATGGTCTTACCTCCAAGGGCTATATGTAACAGACACTCACTAAATAGAATCTAACACACATCAAGCTCAGGCCACAGGTTGTGACTATAGCAGGGGCCCTTCAGCACCTCTTGAGCAGGAATTGGAGCCGTGTAAGTGGTTAAGTAGTTGATGGTGAGATACAGGGCTTCCCAGAGGAAGACAGATAAATCCAGGAAGGCTGCCTGGAGGTGGTGAAAGGCCCTAGATTGGCTTCCTCTTTCGTTTTTTGCTACTAAATCCCTGCAACTTTGAGCCAATGTCTTCCTCTCCTGAGGACCTCAGAGTCCCACCTCTGTCACAAGGAGGTCATAATGGTCATGGTCATTACGCCTTGGTCACAAAAGGTTATAAATGGCTTTCTTCTCTGAAAAAATAACCCCACAACTGTCTCCTTGATGCAGGCTGGGTTTTATGCCCCCCTCCCATCCCCAGGATGTCATTCGAAGACCCTGAACTAAAATCTCTGTGCTTCCCAATCTTGTGAGAGGCTGTCCCTGCAGACATGGGGGCTGCCCTCCCACAGGCCACTGACCTCCAGTTAGAAGAGCCCAGGATCTATCTAGGAGCTGGCCCTGCAGGACTGAGGGAAGCCTGGGGAGGGGAGGGAATACTCCAGCTGACCCAGTTTTGTTCTGGGAAAATGCCCAGTGCAGCCTGCCCTTGACCTTACCCCCCAAGGAGGCAGAGGAGCAAGCTTAGGCCACTCTGAGCTGGCTCCCTGCTCAGATGCCTGGACCACAGTTCCCCTTCCCAAACAGCCTGGTCAGCCACACCCTTATCTTCCCCAATGGCTTCCCCAGAGGCTCTGAGGACCATGTGTGTGTCCTCAGCTGAGGTATCCGGCTTGCCAGAAGACAAAGGGCCCACCATAGTGTCCATTAACACTTGAACTGCTGCCGAAAGTGCTCAGCCTACATTTATGGAACACCTATTGTTTGCAGGCAGCTGCAAGGACCTTGGTTTGAGGCCATCGGTCCCTCCCTCCCTCCCTGGTCCCTGGCCTGGAGGATGCCATTCCCATCCCTCTGGCCTGGAAGAGCACATGGCTATCAGGGAAGCTGCATGGTTTAGCTAACTGGGTCCTGCAGCCAAACTAGAGCTGGACACAGGTCTGGTCGCTATTCAGGCTCCAATGATGTGGGACTTGATTTTTTTTCCTTTCTTTATTTTTGGTTTTCCGAAACAGGACTTCTCCGTGTAGCCCTGGCTGTCCTGGAAATTGCTCTGTAGACCAGGCTGGCCCCAGACTCAGAGATCTGCCTACCTCTGTCTCCTGAGTGCTGAGATTAAAGGCGTGCACCACCACCTGGCTCTTTATTTATTTTTTAAAATGCTGTATTTGTTTTTATTTTCTGTGCATTGATGTTTTGCATGTATGTCTGTATGAGAGTGTTAGATCCCCTGAAACTAGAGTTACAGACAGGTGTGAGCTGCCATGTAGGTGCTGGGAATTGAACCCAGGTCCTCTAGAGGAGCAGTCAGTGCTCTTAATTGATTTTCATCGTATGTGGGCCTCTTTCTGAGCTCTCCAGGCTCCAGGGTTCCATTTGGCTCTGAAATGGGCCCTCTGGGCCCCTTCCTTCTTCACCCCAGAAGGCCTTATAGACTATCTCTAAATCAGATTCATTCATTCAAGCATTTATTGAGAGCTTGTTATGTACCAGGCCCCAGCCTAAATGCTAAATGCAAAGATGACAGATTGGGACCGGGACCCCTGAACACACACTGCCTGGATCCGATGCCTCTCAGCGGGCCCAGCCGGGGACTCAGTGACTCCAGTGTCACGGCGG